ACAGCCGAGAGCGTCTCAGGAGCGCGTGGGCTTGCATTCAAAAAGTTTCTTTGGAGCTGAAACAGACTGATAAGCTGCCAATTTCAACACTGACTAGTGAGTGTTGGGAAGCGTCCAGCGGCTCGGACGTCTTTTAGGAAGGTTTGCACTGAAAATGATTAGATTTTGGTGTTTAGCATGTTCCTGGGGGAGAACAGCGGTATGGTTTATTACCATGGTCACCAAGCGCTGCACCAAAAAAATGGACCAACCGCCGGGAGACACAGGGAAGCTGTGGGAAACCGGAGTCCGTGCTCCCTGTAGCAGACAAAGGGCTAGTAGCTATCAGTTTGTCAGGGACATGGCTTACTTGAAGGTCACCAATGTGCCCTGTGCTTAATAACAGCGCTTAGCCTAAAATGCTTTGTTACATGGGCAGGTGCCAGGGCATAGCTAAATTCTGGACCCCCTGACAAAATGTCACCTTGAGCCCCCGCATTAGGGTTGCCACTTGAAATCTACGGGACACCAACCCCCTGACGGATAATAAAATTCGCCGAACAAAGGGGGGTGTAAAATATGCCGAATGGGGATGGTGGTTTGAAATGTGTAAAAATATGTTTGTATGTATTGTAGGGCCCCAGTACAGTGCCAGGCCCCCTGAATCTGCCAGGGTATCCATGCCCCTGCTGTGGCCCCTGTACAGTGCCGGGCCTCCTGAATCTGCCAGGGTATCCATGCCCCTGCTGTGGCCCCTGTACAGTGCCGGGCCTCCTGAATCTGCCAGGGTATCCATGCCCCTGCTGTGGCCCCTGTACAGTGCCGGGCCTCCTGAATCTGCCAGGGTATCCATGCCCCTGCTGTGGCCCTGGGCAGGGTACAGAACTATAGATCAGTTTGTATAAAAGCCACTGAGTAAATGGCAATATCTGTAGAGACAGAGGGAATTCCCTCAAAGACCCTCAATGGGAGAACTGGGATTTATAACTCTTGTGGCAGTACAGCAAACTCATGCTAGCACTCACTTTCACAAACTAAAGGGGGGGGGGGGGGGGGGGGCAGAGGATGAGAGCGGAAAGGACGGGCAAGTATGGGGGGGGGGGGCGAAAGGCGAGGCTGCTGTGCTGCTGTGAAGGCGCTCCTTAATCATCATCGTTCAGCTGTCACAGGCCACAGAGGCGGAATCCGGGCCTCAGACACCAGCACCCATCTGCCGCCGCTGAAGACAGACAAAGGCCTTAATTTGAATAAATGTCCCCTTTTCTACACGAACATTTTATTGCATTGGCTCATCAGGAGAGAAAGTCAAATCAAAGAGGGAAAGGCCAGGTGGGGGGTGGTGGTGGCGTTTGGAGCGGGAAATGGCCCGGCCTGGTCCCGAGTCCCTTTGAGGACAGCGACATGTCACGTACGCTTAGACCAGTATGCGGGTTACGCTGCAGAAGTATTAGGGGCCTGTTTCACAAAGCAGGATTACTTGCTTAGCCAGATAACTTGCCAGATTTAAGGTAGTCTGGGCTAAATAGACCTTATTTTCATCAACTTACATTTAGCCCAGACTACCTTAAATCTGGCAAGTTATCTGGCTAAGCAAGTAATCCTGCTTTGTGAAACAGGCCTCAGCTCTCCTGCTAAGCTGGGAAAGGCTCCACCCAATCGTCAGGGAAGCTGTTAATCACAGAGGAATCACCCGCTCGTTTCCTCAGTTTCAATTTCAATTTCAATTGCACTTCCCTGACAGGTATGTCCATTCATCCTTACACCGGTCCATCTGGTTGGTGGACCCAGGGCGTCGGGAGGAACACCAGGCAAACGCGAGCCCACGTGGGTGGCACCGGGGTTACGACTAATGAGCAGCTGCTAGGGGCCCCATAAGTAAACATCCAGGAACCACTAATTTTATTAAGCAGAAGATTGAGACCATGACGGCGATGCAGGGCTCTTTCCTGTCCACCGCTGCCCCAAGGACTGACGCCTCCAGGACTGTGGGTTCGGGTCGCGTCCCAACTCTTCGTGTGTCTGTGGTTCTCATATGCTCCTTGTGTTTGTGTAACCTTCCTCCTTCAGACTTGCGGGTTGGGGTTTGTGAATTCCCCTCGGCGAGTGTCTGTGTGGGATGTGATGGATGGGCATCCTGTCCGGAGTGTGTTCTGAGCTTCCAGCTCCGGACCCCAGGCTCACTACCTCCTTTCATCAGGTATGGAAAACAGATGGATGCGAATTTATCTTTATACCCAGTAAAACCTTATTTATACAGCGAATGCAACCGCGTGTACTTGCTCCGCGTCCAGGGCGCTCCCCTGCTGCGTGCCCGGTACTTCCTGGGATCGGTGCCAGGCTGCCCGTGACTCCATACTGGGTAAAGAGTCAGAAGATGGATGGTTCAGACCCTACGCTCCGTGAGGGGTTCACGACCCACCGAAAGCCCGGGACGTCACAGGGATCTGCCCGCACCTCTGTGAGACACAGTGTCGGCCGCAGTCCTGTACATTTTTACTGAAAGTCCCCATTTGAGTCGCTTTTCGGGTAAATGTAAAAATAAGAAAAATGTCACGCACATCGCAGCATGTCTCACTTTGGAAGTGCGACCCCATCCATTCATGATGCTTTCAAACTCAAAATCATTTCTGCGCAACATCCTGCGCATCAATTTTAACAGACAAAAAGTCCACCATCATAAAAATTGCTAAAAGTACCGTCCTGTGCGGTATACTTCAAAACTATGAATAAATAGCGGCCTCCTGTTTTATTTCTTTCAGAATCCAATACATTTTATTCCCCTCCAAATGTGTGCGCTGGCGTAAACAAACGCTCTCTCGCACAGAAAGGTGCTTTTATGCGACAGCGAGTAGCCTACACAATCCTTCATCTCATACACCACGGCCAAATTTCCCTCTTTGATCTGCCCATGTTGCCATCCGGTTATGCTCCTCGCCAGCGTGTTATTATGTCAGAACCCTATTATGCTAAACTGAACGCTAAAGCCGGCCTGAAAAAAGCCTCCTGTCACACCCGCCTTCAGTGAGGGTGACGCTGACCAAACCTCTGCCTGTCAAGATGATGACAATAATAGATTAAAATCAGGGAATTTTCCTCAGCATCCCCAACTGAACCTTTCACTGTCCTTAATTCAGCCTAAGAGGTCGCTAACACTTATGCTAATATCGCTAACTAGGTGGCGTTAATGCACACATTTCCCTTGTAAGTGGATGTAAACAGTGGAAAGTCTATTGAGATGAGGAGTGGAAGAGAAAGGCTGTTACACCAAGGAGAAATGCACACTATGGAGAGAATGATGAAAGCCAGACCGTATGGACAGGGGAGTAAACATGGGCGGGGCCACATGGCTGAAAGCTGATTGGCCACCGAAGTGTGCCCACCCTTGTCACTCATCAAGTCAAAACATATCATTGGCTAATGATAAGGTTTGAGCCTCTGTATGAATTATGGTCCCTCTTGTGCCCCCCCACACCTGTCTAAGGATCGCATACTATTGGTTGTGGTAAATTGATATAAAAATTGTCACAAACCTTTGGTAATCAACTCTATACCCCAAGCCCTGGGATTTCTATTGAACCTGCATTGTACTGAAACCAAAAACTGCACAAGTAAGAAAAATAACAATAATAAGATACTGAAAAGGAGCAGATGAATCCACACAGATTTAATACTGCATGCGAGGTAATATTTCCCCATTAATGCAGGAAAGCACCTATTACATAACTTCCTGTGTTTAGAGAAAATCAGTGATGAAGAAATTCCATGTCAACATCTGGATTAAGAGGAACATTAAAATTTACATCGGCAAAATTAAGCACTCGAACCGTGTTTGTGCTCCAACTGAAAATTGATTAATAAAAACGTTTTGTTGCTCCTGACTTTTGTGTTCTGTTGAGCTGAGTTTAAGAACCATGTATCCCATTAAGTTTCTCAACCCGCCAGTTGAAAAAGTGTCCTAGACACCTTGTGAAGCAGATAAGGTATGAATGATCTTTGTTTCTAGAGTATTGTGCAGATTCCCATCAGTAAATAATTTTTCCAGGCAAAGCCCGTGTCAGCTGTGCAAGACCCATTAGATGAAGGTTGGGGGCCAGGGGTGGGGTGTGGGG